GACTATCAGATTAGGTTTGAGATACATTTTACTGTCAGGCTCCTAACTGTTCTAAAGGGAAGGGCAGCTACCTTCTCTAAGGACCTTTGGTGGGGCTTTGTCTACTTCACCAAGTTCAATGACCCACTGAGGGGAAGGCACCTGGGATTGAGACAAATTAAGACAAAGAGGCCAGAGCTCCTCAGACAGGGTCTCTCTCTTCCCTTTTCCCTTTCCCTTTCCCTTTCCCTTTCCCTTTCCCTTTCCCTTTCCCTTTCCCTTTCCCTTTCCCTTTCCCTTTCTCTCCCCTCCTTTTCCCTTCCCTTCCTCCCTCCTCCCCTTCCCCTCTCCAGTGCCAGTCAGGATAGAGCAGAATGGAAAGCTAATTTTTCAGGATTTTGGGATCTACTTTTCAAAGCTAATTTTTCAGGATTTTGGGATCTACTTTTCAATGTGGTTTTATTGTTAAGCTTTCAGGAGCATAAATTCTGTGAAGATCAGACTTGCTGACTCACATATATGTTAAAATGTACAAATCCCTGCCCACCAAGCCAAAAACGTGTGCTTATGGATCATTCCCCAGCAAGGCTGCAATGATTACTTTATCAAGTAACCCTGTTGCTGTTGGTCCCCATACCAAAGTTAATTTAAAAAATGTGACAAAATAAAAAGTGACAACAGTTTAACAGACATTCACTAGAATGAATCAGAAGTGTGAAGAAGTTACCCCAAAATAGAGGTGGAATGTTTAAAAAAAAAAGTATGGTTAATTCTGAGATTAATACTAAGTAGTTCAATTTATGGAGCTTAAAGATTACGGTGGAGTTTTATAAAGCATTGACACGTCTCACCAGCTTTCACACCCCACTTAGGGCCACTGAGTCTGTTTTAGAAGAGACAGGAAGAGCTTACTAAAGATGACTTTAACTGCCCCACAGTAGAGGCAGCCTCACTTACACTCACCCAGGGAGCTGGCCAGGGGGAGGATGCCAGCAGCAGGAGCCCTGGAACCCGGAGGACTGGGGCTTTCGTTCATTAGTTGGAAAGAAGTTTGTGCTGTTATCTGTCCGATTTCACACTTTCTATTTACCTGTTTAGTATCCTCTCTCCTAGGGCCTAATTTTGTTTCGCCCCACACCTGGGATGGAGCCCACAACCCAGGCATGTGCCTGACAGAGAATAGAACTGTGACCTCCTGGTTCATGGGTCGACACTCAACCATTGAGCCACACCAGCTGGGCTCACTTGTGTTTTAATAGATACAATGATTTCATTTTGATTCAGAGAGTACTTTCTGGGTAAAGATATGAGTGCAATATACAGGCTGATCAGAGAATATCAACAACAAACAGGAGGAATTAATCCTGTCATTCGAGCATTTGTTTTCTTTTACCTAATCTATAATAATAAAAGTGTAACATGCTAATTAGACCGGACATCCTTCTGGACATCCTTCCTTCCAGACAAAGCCACAGCAGGCGGGGGCCGAGGCAGAGGTGGCAGTGGCGGGCGGGGGCCGGGGCCAAGGCCCTTGCATGAATTTCGGGCCTCTAGTATTCAGTAAGGGGCCATTCAGGAAACACTGTTTTGGTCATATCCTTGCAACCTCAACTAAGATGTCAGCTAGTCAACAATCCTTTGTGCCTTTGGGAGATCACTGTGATTCTTCTTTCGTAATCTGGGCTTAGAAAGAGCAGGTCATGCATCTACTCAGTGGAGCCCACTGACCCTGTTACCCCTCAGGCAACCCTCAACTCAGTGGTCGGGCCTGAGGGAGACCCTCTGAGGCTAAGCCACAGGCAGACAGGCCAGGGCTCATTTTTCACATTGTGCGCGGCGATGGAGTGGGAAGCCTAGGAGAGAGTGTGTTGCAGTAAATCTGAGTAATTTCTTTAAGCTCCTCCCCCTTCCATACAACCTGCTCTTCAACGGAACCCTGATTTTCAGTCTTTCTGTGATTAGTGTCCCCTTTCCTCCCAAATTTGTGTTCACTCCTTCTCACAAAACACATTAATGGCTGAGTCCAGATGGGTTAGGAAGACCCACTCACAAATTCTGCCGTGACAGTTAAGTTCTAAGAACAGCAGTGTGTGTGTGTGTGTGTGTGTGTGTGTGTGTATGTGTGTGTTTTAATGTGTGTGTGTATGTGTGTGTTTTAATATGTTTTCATTGATTTCAGAGAGAGGCAGGGAGAGATAGAAACATCAATGAGAGAGAATCATTGATCGGCTGTTTCCTGCATGCCCCCTCCTGGGGATCGAGCCTGCAACCTGGGCATGTGCAATGACTGGGAATCGAACCTGTGACCTCCTGGTGCATGGGACTATGCTCAGTCTCTGAGCCACACCAGCTGGGCAACAGCAGGTTTTTTGATAGAACTCTTGCACCGTGTGCTTCGATTTTTCAAGTCAGATTTCATCCCATGGCGTGTCATACAGCTATAAAATTTTTAAAAATTCATAGTGTCTTTCTTAATAGATCCACGTGTTAATAAGTGTTAGCCATTAGATAACAATATCTAAATTCCAAATTCTGGTCCCCACTTTATAGGTATTTTATAATAATTCAAATTTTCAGGGGGAGAAAGCTTTAAAGTGTTACAGGCTTAGGTGGCATTTAGCAAAAACAACCCGGCATTGTCCGCTAACAGTGAAGGCTGTGATTCAAGGTTACAATCTGCAGACCCATCTCGCTGGATTTCACCAGATCATCTCTCTGGATACTGGGAATCTGCAGGGGCCAACCCCACTCTACAGATGCAACGGCAGCAACTGTGAAACTAACTACAAGTCATCATGCGAAACCTGGGAACTTAAAAGAAATGTTTTTCAAAAGAAAAATACAAATGACTCTTTATTTTCCCTTTTTCATTTCCCTAAAGCTGTGGTCGGCAAACTGCGGCTCGCGAGCCACATGCGGCTCTTTGGCCCCTTGAGTGTGGCTCTTCCACAAAATACCACGTGCGGGAGCACGTACAGTGTGACTGAAACTTCGTGGCCCATGTGCAGAAGTCTGTTTCTGCCTGGGCGAGTCTATTTTGAAGAAGTACTGTTGACATTTGGCTCTGTTGACTAATGAGTTTGCCGACCACTGCCCTAAAGGCATTGTACTGCCAAGGAGCTAGGCATCCCCCAAACACCTGATGGTATTTTTCTAGAAAACGATGAGTAGGATTTGAGGCAAGCCAAGAAAAGAGCAGCAGTCACTGAATGAAGGAAAAGTACTTCAAAGTCTTAAGTTAGAGAAACCTCTCAAATAACGAAAAACATCTGGTGACCAGAGACCGGAGATTCTCTGGAGAGAGGCATGACAAGCAAGGGCTCTCCCTGCGGAGAATGTGTCCTAATTGCATGCACAAGTCACAAATGTCCTCTTCGTTTATCCAAGACTTCCTGGGGTGAACAGTGATGCAGGGACATTTTATAATCTCAAACCTGCCCCCAAACTACCCACCCAACATCTCTTCACCTTTCGTTCTATTTCACTTTTTTCTCTTCTGTTTTTATTCCTCAAAATAAAAGTTGAATCATAGCCACAATTCTCAACCTGCGTCATCTCCTGGCACACATAAGCGAATGACTGAAATTCTGCAGCACCCCAAAAAAGGTATTTTTTGCCGATCTGACCCAAAAATCGGTGTGATTTTTATTCATTCACACCAGTGGCTATTGTAGTGTTGGCCGTTGTCATTTTTTTTTTAATTTGACAATCTAAGGGAAAAGAGGTCAGTGCCCCTGACTAAATAGTCAGGTATTACATGTTTTAAAAATTCTTGCGGCACACGGTTGAACATCGTTGTATTATGATATAGCCAGAAAGTATCTTTGCTGCAACAGCCAAAGGGTAGTAAGAAACTACCCAACTACAAACCAACATCCCAACTTGTTTTCCAAGAGCAAAATGTATGTCTTGAAGCAAGTTTCCTCTAACATTGGGTCAGATATGTCTGGGAAACGAGGAAACAATTTATTTTCAATTTAGCAATGTCCAAGAATAATGTCAAGCGATAAATACGTTAAAAGTTGATAAAACATAAACACATGGCCCAAACACTTGTAGGCCAGCTGAGTGACACCAGCATGTCTCAGAGAGGGGGGCAGGAATTTGAAAAACACACTTGCTTCCCAGGAAAGACTTGATTCGGAGTTGAAGTCTTAACAAATGTGTCTATTTTGAACGACAGTTTGATCATTACTTTTAGTCTGTATTCACAATGAATGACTAGTCTAAAATAAGGGCTGGTGTATTACAAAATGCCAAATGTTAGGGATTAAAAACATTGCTCATTAAAATTACAGTGAGACCCAGCTGACAGACCCAGTTGAAGTATTCTGTCAGCAAAAAATAAGCTAAAACAATTTTCTACTGGCAAAACCCTTTTGTAAGTATTGTTGATATGCTGCTAGTTAGACCTAATGTCTTAAAGCAGAATTTTATGGCTGGAGTGGACCTTAGGAACATCTAACCCAGTGGTTCTCAACCTTGGCTGCACATTAGAATCACCTGGGAATCTTTTTAAAATCTTGATTTCTGGGCCTCATCCTCCGGAAATTGTTTGTTATGGGGTGGGGCCACAACATTAGTAACAAAGAAACAGAATTTCCAGAGGATGAGGCCCAGAAATCAGGATTTTAAAAAGACTCCCAGGTGATTCTAATGTGCAGCCAAGGTTGAGAACCACTGATCTACTCCAACTCCTCATTTTACAAATAGGAAACCTGGAGCTGGAAATTGAAGTTAGATTAAAAACACCCGTTACTATTTGGATTAAGATTCCTGAGTAGTAAAAAAAAAAAGACCAAAAAAAAAAAAAAACCCACAAAAAACAAAGCAGGAAATGACTCCTCAGTACCTAGTGCACAGCCACGCTTTTAATAGAAATTTGACCAGACCAGGAAGCTTTTAAATATCATTTCCTTTTTTGGTGAGGTTCAATGTTTTGTGGTAACATTTAACTTTTTCTGGTGAAAGTACATGTTTATTATAGAAAATGTAAAACATACAAGGAAGCACAAAGAAAATAAGCCATCAAAAATAGTTTATTATATTTCCTTCAGACATTTTTCTAGGCAACAAAAATAACAGCATTTACTTTGTAAATGGAACATGACGATTACTTTTCCTCTGACACACAATCACAGGGACAGCAGGGGTTCCGGGGTCCCTGCCGAGAGAGAGGGAGCCAGTTGGAAAGCGGGGTAGCTAAGGGACAGACTGCCACCTAGTCGATGATCAGCGGGTACTGACAATGCACTGGGGAACAGGGTCTCTGCATGACCTTGATTTTCATTTAATTATTATTTTTTGTTAATCCTCACCGGAGGATATTTTTCCATTGATTTTTAGACTGGAAGGGACGGGGCGGGGGGTGGACACAGAGAAACATCCATGTGAGAGAGATACATTGATTAGTTGCCTCTCGCATGGGCCAGAATGGAGCCTGCAACTGAGGTACGTGCCCTTGACCAGAATCAAACCCGGGACCCTTCAGTCTGGGCCTGATGCTCTATCCACTGAGCCAACCGGCTAGGCGTGATTTTCATTTTAGAATATAAACCTACCAGAGCAGGAGCCTAAATGTGGGGTGGGGAGGGAGAGTAGAGAGGTAAGTAAAGGTAAAGGTCAAAGTGACTTTCCAGTCTGGCTCTGCCTGGAACCGAAAGCTTTCTTCTCCACAAAGTCTCTGTGCTTCCTCTTGAAATTGTGGCTGATCTTTTCTTTTTTAAATTATTAATTAAATTTATTGGGGTGACATTTGTTAGTAAGATTAGTATTCAAGTGTAGATTTCTCTGATACATGATCTGCATTGTGTGCCCACCACCCAAAGTCAAATCATCTCCCATCACCATACTTTGGCCCCCTTTACACGTTACTGCTTCCCACCCTTCCTTTTGGTAACCATCACAGGGTCGTCTGTGTCTCTGCGTTTCAGTTTTATAACCCACATGAGTGAAATCATACGGTTTTTAGCTTTTTCTGAGGCTGATCCTGAACACTGGTCGGGGGCTCTGAAATGGCTTCTCAGGAGAGGCAGTACAATCTCTCACGGCCACACAACTTTAAACAGCCTTGTGCCAACTGTATAGTGTATGGGTCCTCTTAGATTCTTTTTTTTTTAAATTTTATTATGCACCACATAATACACTGCATGCTACATAATAACCTTCCAGCAGGGGTAGATTAGTATAGCTGAGTTATTTTTCATCAATCGGGAAAATGTTTCCTTAATCATTGTTCTCTAAACTCTTTGACATATAGTGACAATTAACTTCAGAGACACACCCTCTCTTTCCCACAAAGTGCACTGACAGGAGTAATAGGCAAGCCTTTTTCCCTTGCCCCCGTGAGTGAAGCTGTGGGTGTGCGCAGTGGCAGCTCTGGGGGTGGGTAAGTGTGCACGCATGGTGGCGATCCCGGGGAGAATCTCGAACCACTTCGTGGCAAGGTACGAAGGCCCTTAGATTCCTGAGAAGAGCCCATACTAGCTACACCCTGAGAACTAGACGTCACCATGATACCTACAGGCCAGGGTTTAAACTAGTCCCTGAATATCCTTAGTAACACCCCGAGGGAAACGGGGTGAATGAGAATTTAACAAACATAGAATGACACAGAAGCCATCTCTCCCTATTAGGAGCATTTAGCCACTTTAATGAATTCTACATGGTCCTCCCCAGGTATGGACTAAAGCAACTGCTCAAGCCAAGTCCTGATGTAACACTATGACTTCCAACCTTAGTTTGGTGATGGCTCAGGGAGCACCAATGATCTCCCAAGTATTAAGAAATTTTGCTCTTTGACAATCAATTTTGTTCCACTTAACTAAACCAGAGGGTGTTCAGAAAAGCTGAAAATGTCTGGTTCAAACAGCTTTTGTCACCACCACTGAGAAGGCGTATTAGCCGACTAGCCGAGCCATTTTAAATTGTTATGTTGGTAATTGTGTGTGCCTCTCCTTGTCTACAGCATTAAGCGTCAGAGAACATCTGCAGGGCTGTGGACCGCACTCTGTACTGACTAGACATCAAGGGGTTTACAGCACAACACTGAGCTGCTGGCATTCTAAACTCTGAAAATGCTACTTTGTAGTATTGAAGAAATAAGTGAGCAAGGAAGGATGAAAGGCTTTAACAAGAATTTTTCAACAGACATGTTCACACTAAAAAAGTGAGGTTAATAGTCAGGGTTTAAACTAGTCCCTGAATATCCTTAGTAACACCCCGGAGGGAAACGGGGTGAATGAGAACTTAAGTTTTCCAAGGATTGAAGTTCAAATCCTCTGAAGGCTACCGGTGGTCAAATAAAATGAGAACTCAGCTTTATAGTAGCAACTTCCCACTGGCACCAGCACAAGGTGGTAGTGATTCTCAAGTTTAATATATTACATACAATACTAGAAAAATAAGCTAAAGTTTTAAGGAGCGTCCATGACTATTAAAAGGGTTGAGCTTTACTACTCCAACCCTGGGCTTTTGATAGAACTTTCTGGAAAAAGGCCCATGAAAGCACAACAAAGAGGTATACTAATGACAGGTAGCTGCTACCATGTGCCATAGGTGCTTCAGTAGTCAGTAGTAACAATCTTGAAAAAGCAGGGGACGTAGAGTCCCAGGGAAAAACTGCTTTAGATATTTGTAACAGAAACAAGTACAAGTGACAAGAGCGACCTCCTTCACCACATTCACTGGTGGGGATCCCATTTTTTCCACTGCTTTCATTGTTTACATATTATTATTGCGAACAGGGCAAGAAAAGGCCGTTTTCTCCAGGAGGCTTTCAGAAAAACAAACCGACGAGGGATGCTATATCCCTGCGTCCGTGCTCCGTGGCTGGAAACCCTCCCTCCGAAGACTGCCCATGTCAAAGCGAGTAGAAACCTCACAGCGCACTAACAAAGTATCATCCTTAATGAAGGTTCTTTGTCTTAGGGCTTCCAGATGCATAAAAGTCACATAGCCAAAACCTTTTGGGTTCCGTGGGATTGTGGGTCTCTGGAAGGCAAGCAGCTCTGGTTTGGCATCCATGATCTCCTCATGGTTTTGCCTGATAGGTGCTTCAGACTGATCAAGAATCGTGAGGCGTATTGTACCCTGGAAGGGCCAAGGGAGGTGGCTGTCATACTCTCCTTGCATTGTGTGGACAAAGAGGGATATATAGTTTGCACAGCGCTGAGCAGTTGGTAACTGAAGGTGCAGGCGCATGCAGAGTTTGTATCCGGGTTTGCCTGTATAGAACCCAGGGCTGTGAATGACAACAGGTTTCTCCTCTTCTTGAGATTTCAAGTGCATCCCAAAGTTACCAATCTTCCAGATGTAAATCCCATTGCACTGCTGTGCTTCTATTTCAGCAACCTTGTCCTCAAGGGTTCGAATAGTTCGTTTGAGCTCACTGACATACATGCTCTGAGTTTCCATTTTCGCAGTCAGCTCCCGGATTTGATGGTCTTGTCTTACAAGGCGACCCTCTAACTGTTGAATGATTTCTTGAAAATTGTAGACCTCTGAGTTACACCCAGAGGGGACCCGAGCCAGAGATGCAGGCTCGTATCGTTGAGGCATGGGAGCTGCAGCCAGGTTTAAGCTCTGAACAGCCTGGGCCAACATTCTCATGTGTGACTGGGTGTTCTCTTGTAGGTGGCGTGCCAAGTGAATCCTCTGCATCTAAAAATTAAGCACAAGCCTTAGGCTGGGAGTAGATACTGTGAGGATTAGGAAAGGGGCCTAGCCACGCCAAATAAAAGGTTTTAAGTAACATCACCATTTCTCTCAATCCCCTACAACCTTCTTTGTCTCCATCATTCTCGATCCTATTGCTACTGGACAGGGTCTGGGCCCAGGATGGTCTGACCGTAGTGTGTGGCTCCTGACTTTGTGTAGTAAAGACTTCACAACATGAGTCTGGGTGGCTTTTGAGAGTATGTTTACTCAAGCTGGAGCCAGTAAGGTAGGAGAAGCAATAGGAGAGAAAAAGTCAGAGAAAAGGGGTCTTGGAGACAGGTTCAGGAGGGTAGCCTGGGTAGAGCTGCCACTGCGTACTGTTCCCCTGGTTGCAAGTCCCATGGGGTCCCTTAAAGTTTAGGAGAAAAACAGCAAAGATACAAGGTGTGGGGAAGTAACATGAGAGCCTAGATGGGGCTGTTTTGGCTCTCTGAGAAATTAAAGTCACAGTGACAGTGAGTTCACGGGGCAGTCAGAGAAAATTGGGGGCCTGATGACAGGTTCAAGGGGTAAGCCTGGGACGAGCTGCCACTGCCCGCCGCTCGCCTGGTGCAAGTCTTGTGGGATTCCCTTGAAGTTTAGGAGATGCACGCCTGTGGAAGAAGCTGGGGAAGGGAAAGGTGTGGGTGTGCTCCTGGGAGGGAAAGCTTGCCATATCCTTTGTCTTGAAGCTTTTATTTAACCTCTCTTTGGCCAATGGAATCCTAGGGGAGGTCTTTGGGAAGGAGCGAACAGAATATTCATTAGCTCTTCAGATGTGTTCCTCAGTATGCTGATTCATCAAAATGTGTGTGTAAAGGGGCCAGGGTTATTTTCTGGTTACTTAGCTTTTTTGAGTGTATTGAAGAGGGACTGAGACCCTGCCCAGTCTAGAATGTGTACACCATTTGCTCCTAAGTGTCCTTGGTTATGAAAGATAAAATCTTGTCAGGTACCTCCATTCCCACTGGTATTCTCCACTGCACTAGATAAATGAATTTTCTTGATCTATATTCAAGAGTCAAAAGAAAAAAAAAAGAAACAGCTTACCTTTTCATGGCAACCAAAAGAACTGAAAGTGCATGGAATTGGGGCTGTAGGGCAGTCTAGCTCAAAATGATTAGGCATCTGAAAACCAAAGCAGAGGTTGAAAAATGTTTTTCCTTGCATATCATGTTCTAGTTAATGAGATTACACTTGAAATAAAGATTTACATTTCATATAAACAAAATCATGTATTACCTATGGCTGTCTCTATATCACAATGGCAGAGTTGAATAGTTTTAACAGAAACCAGGTAGCCCACAAAGATTAAAATAATATTTACTTCCAAAAGTCACAGAGAAAAGGAAATACCAACATCACATCCCGTCCCCCAAATCACTCAAAATTCAATTCAAGAAAATGAATTTGTTCCTGTTGCTGGGAACTGGAACGCTATAGTGGCATTTTAAAGAAAAAGCACCTTCTGACGTCAGCCTCAACTGCAAACTTCACCAGGACTCTCACTGTGGCCCAGGCCATTTAACAGGGACCAGCCAACTGTACACATTAAAGCCACGGACTGTACCCGGTACTTCCCTCATGACCACCTTTCACAAACCTTCTAACCTTTTGTTAGCCTGGGCATGTTTTGACTACAATGGGAGACTCAGCTGTTAGAAAGTATTTCGTAAGCATATTAATAAAGGTTCTAAAGAATGTCTCAGCTTCTGACTCTTCAAGGTAAGATCCATTATGGAGGATCATATTTGAAACTGGTTACCAAATTCCCTTTAGAAATTTAGGTTAGCTATAGTCATAAATATTTCAAGCGGAAATATTAAAGACCATTTAACCCAATCTTTCAATTTTGCATAATCCAGAACAGCGGACAGCATCATTTTTTAGAAAGGGTCAGATAGTAAGTATTTGCAGCTTTGTAGGCCCTATGGTCGCTGTCCCAAGTATTCACCTCTGTCACTGTGGGAGAACACCAGGCACAGACGACGTGCGGACACATGGCATGGGTGTGCTCCAATACCACTTATTTATAAAAGCAGGCAGTGGGCCAGACTGGGCCTGCAGGCAGCTTTGCTGATCCTTATCTAGAATTTCAACTTTCTTGCCAGAGATCAGCGGCAAGTCAGTGGCACAACCAGGGTCAAAACCCAAGTTTTCTGTTAACCGAGGATTTTTTCCTACATTAAGTTTTATTTTTGCTGGGTTTCAGATGCGCTGCATGGTTTCCTTTAAATATTACAGCAGAGCAGAAAGAAAAGCCAGGGAGGTGAGATTTCATTAGCAAAACAAAGTTTAACACCTTCACATAAAGACTGTTGGAAAAAAACTACAGGACTCTGTTTAGACAAATGGAAAAGTTTAGTGGAGGGACAGGTTTTGCTTGCTTCTAGTTATTATTAAGGTAATCAATTATGATCTTTGGGTTTGCAGATTTCATGGGTGTATAAATAGTGACTAGTATTCAAATTGTGTGGGTAAATTCCCCAATGTCAGAAGATAGCAATCAGATGGAATTTTCCTATCTCTATTAAAAATGTAAATGCAGTTTTCTACTGTAACTGCTGCTGCCCCATCAGTGGTCTATAGGACAACTGAACAGAGGGGTACAGATCCTGGGAGTCTCAGAATCTCTCAGTGTGTCCCATGGGCCATTGGGACAAATAATGCTCTACCACTGAACAGACCTGCTGTCCTCTATTTCATTGGTCTTTTGGCTAGTCTCTGGATACCTATGACCCTTACTGCACAGTGTGTAAATACATATTTAAGGTGCGTTTTTTTTCCCTTTAAATGGGAATTTTAATGATTTGTATCTTAAAAATTACCTGGTTTTGTCTGGAACTTGTATAAATATACATAAACATGGAGATTATATCAATGACTTTAAGTACTTAGGGCTGAGTATTTGTTTTTCTGAAATATTCATATTTATTAATTTTATGAAAAATTTTCATAGTTCTAACACTTCTTCAACCTGTATTCATTTTGCCGTATTGACTTAATAAAAAACCGAACCCACTTCTTTAATCTATTATGGAAATATTCATTCATGAAAAGAAATCATTATACCTGTTCTCTGATGAGCATGGTACTGCAGTATTCACAGATGACATTTGCCAAAGGACAGCTCTGGTCATGGCTCTAAATTTTAATGGAAAAATATAAGAAAAACATGAGAAAAATCTGAAAAAGCAAAAAAAAACCCTTACTTTTATAAAAGTAATTTTTCACCATAAACAAATTAAGGACTTTGATGTGTGTTAAATAAAAAAAGTGAGAATAATATGTAAAGGTTGTTTTCTCTCCCTCTGCCAGTATAGTAAGTAATGAGATACATCTTGCATTTCAGCTCTTTCAAAGAATACAGTACACAAAAGAGAATCTTTGAAATCACTTCTTTTAACCGGAGGCAGGGCATCTGTGACTAGTTTGGACATCATTGACCAATACTATATCTAATTCAAGCTCTTAGGGGGTTAGAGAACAGAGCACTGTTAGGGCAGGAGGCTCTGGTGCTCAGATTCTCACAGTCCCTGGAAGGGTGAGCCTTTTTTCTAAAGTACAATGAGTTTGAGAAATAACTAACCCTTCAGGTTACATCCATTTAATTTACTTAAGTTTAGGAAAACATCAATTTGTTCTAATTATGCCTCAGCCTTCTCCCCATTTTTTTAGCAAGTAGCTGACTTTTTTGAACATTTCATCAACTTAATGAGTATAATATGCTTGATTGCATAAGAAAGTAGGAAAAATTGCCAAGATAAACTTATAGTGGAACCTTGGTTCTCAAACTTAATTCCAGAAACAATTTGTTTGAAAACCGAATCATTTTTTCCCATAAGAAATAATGTAGATTGAATTAATCTTTTCCAGACACCCAAATGATTCCGTTTTAACCTTTCTTACATCCAGTACATGTCTAATGTACTGTTTAATGTATAAATACACTTCTTTTCTTAAATGTATCGAACCACCCCCTAATTGCCTTAAAGGAATCACTTTTAGCATTGGGTCCAGGATGTCTTTCAGGTCAGCATGCAGTATCTTGGCTGGTTCAGTTTTTCTACCTCTTCAATTGACTGATTATTGCTTCTTTCATACCCTTTGCAACATTAGCACTCTTAATAAGGCCGCTTTATGTTTTAAAATTGTGCTAATTGTTCATTTCTGCCAGCAACAAAAGCATTCTCTCCTTTGTTGCCTGAAATACACTTTTTGTCATGCTGAGGTATCAGCATGAAAGTGTTGTCAGGTTGAAAGCCGTAGTTTGGTTCCACAACCCAAACATTTTTTCTGTGAACAACTTGGTCAAGGACCGAATTGTTTGAGATGGGAGATGATAAGAAATAAGATTTGACTATATAAGAAATAAAGTTTAAGGAAGTATGTTAATAGTTATATGAAAAACTGCTCTATCATCATGATGCTGTCAGGTGCCACGAAGTTTCTTTTTAATGATAACATTTTAATTGAAGTGTAACATACTCCCAGAAAAGTGAATTCATTATATGGGCATAGCTCAGTGATTTATCACCAAAAAGCTCAGTGATTTATCACCAAAAAACACACGTTTGAGATTAAATTTAATTTATTCTCCATAAAAGTTTTAACATCCCATTCTCTTTTTCAAAGAGTAAAGCATAAGTCTTATACAGGCATCATTCTACTTGTTTGTCTCAAATCCAAGACTGGTCATTAAAATATCACATAGGAAAGCAGATCAGCACGTCTTTCCTGGAAGGTTTTGTTACTTGCAGATCTACTATCTGGTAAGTAGTATAAACAATGTTTTCTAAGAAAGATATACAGCCTGACCAGCGTGGCTTAGTGGTTGAGCACTGACCTGTGAACCAGGAGGTCATGGTTCGATTCTCGGTCAGGGCATATGCCCGGGTTGCGGGCTCATCCCCAGTGTGGGGCATGCAGGAGGCAGCCGATCAATGATTCTCTCTCATCATTGATGTTTCTGTCTCTCTCCCTTTCACTTATTCTCTAAAATTAATAAAAATGTATTTTAAAAATGATTAAAAAGAAGATATACAAATATAAACCCTACATTTAGTCACTAAAATGGTTTACTGAACTTTCTTTCTTAAAAATCAATCTTCCCACAACTGATAATATAGACTCAGAAATGGAATAGCATCCTCATCTACTGTGAAGCCCTTAAATGTACATAAAAACAAATTAACAAGTAGTGAATGAAGAAATCCAAGTAGTACATGCCTCTTTATCTTCAAATGCCATTGACATAGCACAGTTCTTACAAGAAACCTGTCTTCTTGGACACTCCTGGAGAATGTGAGTATTAAGTTGGCACTTTTGTAATGGACGGTTGCATTGAAGACAATTCGTAAGAGCAAACTCACAATGTGCTTGATGATCCTATAATAAGAAAAAAAGAATTGATTAGCACCTGCTAATCTTTAAGAAATCTCTTAAATATAATCTCTTCTGACTATATACTGTTCTCTCTCAAAACAGCTACTCCTTCACAAGGACCTAAGGAAAAGGGACAAGTTGTAAATGTTTTAAACACTTAATTTTGAATAAATCATAAACGATACTTAATTTCTCATAAAACCATCAAGCTAAAAATGAATTTAATTTAAAAGCAAATTCTTTTACCTGATTGCTTCAGTTCATCTCAAGTTATAGAAAGACTCCATTTAGTCAATAATAAAATGCACAATTTAGAAAAAAGAGAAAAAAATATGAGGGTACCAAGATGATGGCCATGAGACTTGTTGCTTATTTCAAAATGAGAAAAATAGCCCTGACCGGGTGACTCAGTTGGTTAAAGCATCGTCCCATACATCAAAAGGTTGAGGGTTTGATTTCCTGGTCAGGGCAGATACCTAGGTTGCGGGTTCTATATCCTGTTGGGGCATGTACAGGAGCCAACCAATCAATGTTTCTCTCTCACATTGACCTGTGTGTGTGTGTGTGTGTGTGTGTGTATGTGTGTGTGTGTGTGTGTGTGTGTGTCCTTCCTATCCTAGGGTGAGGATTAAAAACAAAAAGATAGAAATAAGTGAAGTTATGGGATTGAAATGTGACACTTGTATTTAAAATGCTCTTCAGTATTATAGTTAATAATGTTCACCCCAAAACTTAAAGAATACTGATTTCTTTATCATTTGGCAAGGCCCGAGAAGATGGAATTAGAAATTTCTGGTTTCTACTTATATCCAACTAGAGGCCCGATGCATGAAATTCGTGCAAGGGGCTTGGCCCTCGCAGCCGCGGCATCTTGCCTCGGCCTTCGCAGCCCTGTCTTCGTCCAGAAGGATGCCCAGAAGGTCACTGGGCTGTCTGGTCTAATTAGCATATTATGCTTTTATTATTATAGATGATGAAAGGATTGGTACCTCACTAAGCAATTATATGCTAGGCGTCAGCAATACACTGATGGACACAAAAAAGTCTCTATTCTCTAGGAACTGCCTTGCCTATATGCTAAGGCTAAGAAATAACTTTAGTACCTCAAGATGCCGCAATTCCATCTTGTGCATACACCCTTCATTTGGACACCTCACCATCAGAGAAAGAATCTCTCGTTTTGCAAAATTGTCAGGAAAGAGTTGAGTTTCCAACAGTATTTCATTATCAATAGGACATTTGTGACCAGCATCCCTAAAAGAAACAAATAAGATACATACATTTATTAGACTTAAACAAATATTAACATTAAAAAATACAAACAACTTTTACACGTTTAAAAGAGTTATATATGTGTATAACTCACCACATATACATTCTCCATTTATTATTTCCTATGGAAAATAATTTAACACATTATATTTCATAATATTACCCTCCCCCGACCCAAATCAAAAAACCAACACCTGTCCTTTTATGGACAGTTCATGAACTGTTCCTTTATGCAATGAATACAACTAGTACCATACTGGTGACCTATAAAAAATTATGGGATTTAATTTTAATTTTTAAAAAATATTTTTTATTGATTTCAGAGAGAAAGGAAGAGGGGAAAAAGAGATAGAAATATCAATGATGAGAGAGAATCATTGATTGGCTGCCTCCTGCACACCCCCTACTGGGGACTAAGCCCGCAAGTCAGGCATGTGCCCTTGACCAGAAATGAATGTGAGATCCTTCAGTCCACAGGATGAAGCTCTACCCACTGAGCCAAACCAGCTAGGCCCCAAAAAACTATGGGATTTTAGACTGTGGGATAGATTTCAACAACAAAAAAAAATGAGAAAAATTAACTCAATAAAGTCCTATGTTGATTGTCCTTAAATGAAGTCAAGCTAAGGATGGGGATTTTGCAGTCTGGCAGGCCTCTGTTCTGTCAGCAGCTACACAACATGCTAGTGAGATAAACTACATATGCTGCTCGTAATACCAATAACACTTCACTAGCTCATGGACAACCAAAGTTTTCCTTTGTTTTTATGTCTAGGGGACAATTTAGTAGGGAATTAAAGGACCTCTATTTCCTCCTTCCCAGTGGTTACTTAATCTTATGGGGAAAACCATCCCCAGGAAGTTTGGTTATCTGTCACTTCCCTTTAATTTTTTGGGATGTCTAAATCTTCACTCACAAAATGTGGCAGGTCAGGTAGACCACTGAAGCATTAATCAATCACTCAAATCATTTGCTGAGCAACTCCTGTGTGTAAGCCACAGTGGAAATTGCCATGGTAGGTAAAAAACGGGTCTACTGTCAAATGCCTTAGAATAAAGGTGAGAGAAACAGCCAATCTTTAATGAGGCTTCTGTCAGAATAATGGTCTTAGTATAGTCAAATCTTTTATGAGAAGCATAGGACACTATAAACAAATTTATTGACATATATACCCAAGATCTAAGTTATGGATGTCAAAGAGGAAAAAAACAAACTTACAAAGTAAACTGGAAACCATTATCCACAGCAAATGGAACTGGATTAGCATGTATTTTGGTTTCCTGAATGATTATAATGGATGAGAAAGTTTGAAGGTATTCTTTTAAGAACGTTAGACTCAAAGTAAGCGGTCATTTCTAGCTGAGAGGGAGATAGAAAAAGAAAGCCTCAGACTTCCTTTTGTGGGTTTTACTTCCTTTTAAGACCACTGTCCATTACTTTCATGAATATCTTGCTATTAAAAAACTGCTAAAGATGATCTTTTTGGGCATATGACACTAATAAAATACATCTCTCTATCCATAAAAAGTCAGTGATCCATAATATGGTACATACGACCTATGAAGACTGAATCATGAAGAAACAGAAAATCTGAGCAGATTGCTAGTATACAGAGTAAATCAGTAATCACCTCCCAAAAAACCCACACCCCTCCCAACCAACAAAAGTCCAGGAGCAGATGGCTTCACTGGTGAATCCCACCAAAATTTAAAGAAAAATTAATACCTACCGTTCCTAAACTCTTCCAAAAAATGGAAGAGGAAAGAACACTTCCAAACTCATTTTATTACCCTGATACCAAACCCAGACAAGGACGCCACGAGAAAAGAAAAGTCAATTTAAAAGTTGAAAGAAAAATCTGCAAGATAGTAAGTAGCCAGCTTTACCTACTTACAAATGATTTCACCAACATAACTCGATGCTTATTTACTGAACAACATAAAATCCTCCCACTACTTCCTTAGTCACCTAAAATATTCCCATCTACTTTTGAATTAAGTAAAATGTATTTACTTCTTGGGAGATGAACCTGAATCATCGATGGACTCCCACATACCTTCATTCAGTTAAAGCAACCATGATACTGAGCACTGCTGGGTGTCAGGCACTACTTCCGGCACATAGGAAATATCCAGAAATAAAATAGCTCTCAACCCCTGCTCTCAAAGAGCTTTTCTTTTTTTTTTTTATTTCTTTTTAAAAAAATATATTTTGTTGATTTTTTACAGAGAGGAGGGGAGAGGGATAGAGAGTTAGAAACATCGATGGGAGAGAAACATTGATCAGCTGCCTCCTGCACACTCTCTACTGGGGATGTGCCCACAACATGCCCTTGACCAGAATCGAACCTGGGACTCTTCAGTCCGCAGGCTGACGCTCTATCCATTGAGCCAAACCGGTTAGGGCTCAAGGAGCTTATTTCTAACTGGGTAAGAGAGGTTGGGAGTGTGGGGGGCGACAGAGGGGAACATGCTGTGGTATAAACAGGGTAGCCAGGGCACCTATGAGAGGTGAGATCTGAGCCACACTGGAGGAGTGAAAGGTGTTAGCTAGACAGTTAACTGAAGAAAGAATGTTCCACAGAGAGAACAGCAAAAGCCAATTCCCCAAGGCAGGAGCATGCTTGGCATGTTGAAGGAACAGCTAAGAGTGACTTGGTGGAAGGAGGGAATAGTGGACAGGAGGTCAGAAAACGGGTTATGGATCTAAGAACAGGGCCTCACACGCAGATGACTTGCTGCAATGTTCTGAGCAGAGATGACCAGGTTCCCTCTGGCTGCTACCCTGAGAACAGTCTGGAAGGCAAGGAGAGAAGCAGGCCTGCGACTAAGCTGACGGGGATTCAGAATAGGGTGGCAGCAGTGGAGGCAGCGAGAAGGAATTGAATTTTGGATATATTGTAAAGGCAGAGGCATCGACTAATACTTTCTTTAAAAATACTGGTTATTGCACTTTTGTCCACAGATATCAGATAACAGACAGAATTTAATGTGGCTAAAACCATTACTGATCGATTATAGAATCAGCATTCTTTGTATGGTTGAGCTGATCATACTCTGCTATCCTTTAAGGTGTTATGTTATTTTCTTAAAGCATAGAGAACTTATTTATCTGAGGATCAGAGGAGGGTAGAAAACAGACATTACCTTTCATACCACAATAGGAACTAGGGTAAGAATGTAGATGTCTCAAGTTTCTGTCCAGTGTTCTTTTTCCTTGAGTAGGTGTTTACATATAAGACTACTCTTGGGATGTCCAGTGTCCTGTGCAATATTGTTCTCCGTATTTGGTTCTGTTATAGGACACAGTTCTTTCTTATGCTCACGTACCTTATTGATTTGGTGATGCAGGCTTTGCAGAACCTATGGCCGCATGGTGTCTGCACTGCTTCCCGTAACGCCATCAAGCAGATGGGGCATTCATACTTGCTTTCCAGGGGTGGGTCAAACTCGACGTCGTACCCCTGGATCTCTTCCATGAAAGAGCTGGAGAGATTCCCTGTGCTGGCAGTGGCGCCCACGCTGTCGTCTTTTGCTGCAGCACTACAGGAGCTGGCCATGGCCGCGCAGCAGTCGCTCTCAGACTGGCTGGAGGCACAGCTGATTTCACAGTTTAGCAGACTCATAGTAACGAGCTTATCAATTACTCTGTAAAAATAGCAAGAGAAAAATGCCTTAACATGCATACACATACACCGTAGCTTATCGAGGTAGGTCACCTCTTCGTTGATATAGAAAAGCTGCATTAATATTATTTATGGAAAACTTTACAAGTGTTTTGAGCTTTACTTCATGACTAGTATTCTATAGTAGGTTAAGGAGTTCAAGATCTAGTAGGTAGATAGAATGTAAAGTTAAAAGAAGAAATGACCTCCATTGCAATACTGAGCTATCTCACAATTATGTTTAAATTCTGTTTCCTGTGACTGAAGTCAAGAATTTACTTTTCATATCGTTAGTACTCAGCACAAGATCTTTCACATAATAGGTGTTCATTAAGCATCTGCTGAAGAACTTATTACGCTGCTGAAGTTCCCTCAAGTATCCTGAGCTGAAGAGAACAGTAGGACCAGCAGGCAGTGCAAGGAAGGGCAATGTACAAGGGATTAGATCAGGGGTGGGGCCCGTGGGCCGCATAAGGCCCTTGAAATCATTTGGTCCAGCCCGGCCAAGGCAACCGCATGCAGGACTCAAAATGCAATAAATCTAGGAGCTTCTTTCATAGCAACATAAAGTTACATGAAGTGAATTATATTAAGTGAATGATATTATAAATATCCAGATGGCCCTCAGCAGAAAACAGGTTCCCCACCCCTGAGTCAGATGATCATGTGCAAATATTAGGCATGTGGTTTGGTGCCATTTAACCATTTGGATCTTGGTTTCTTGTTCTAGATCTGAAATTCCATGAGTACTTCCAAATGTTCAGTATGGAGATTTCTATTATGTAGAAAGAACAGAATTTTGAAAAAGCATATTTGTATGTCCTTCTGCCTTCAGTCATGTCAAGTGACTCTATTTCATCATGTGACAGGAAAAACAAGTGAGGTTTCTGTTGTCTATGGAAAACTACTGGTTTCGTGGGTAGGTGGGACGCCTTCAAACTCTAAATCATATGATATTATTGAGTGAGAGACTAATGTCTAAAGGCAATTCACGGCCTATTGACCAGGTCTCTGCAGTAGACTGTGGAGAATTCCCAATATGTGCCAGATATAGTTCTAGAAACAGAACGCAAGCTTCGGGTCAGAATGGTGAACAATCTTCCCCCTGGGTTAAGAAAGCAACCCTCTAGCTTTGTTTTGGCCACCAGAGGCATCTTTTTCTTCTGCTCAAAAAGATTTTGCGTACAGTCTGATGAGCACCTACAAAGGCTGAGGCCCTATTCTGGCTTGGAGGGGCAGGACAGCCAAGTGGTGAATGACAGAGAGGAATCAATGGGCTGGTAGGTGAAAGCACTTAGAACTGTGCCTGGAAGTAAGAACGAGTCACTGTTCTGTGCAGCTCTCTCGAGTAATTTTATGCAGTAATTTCACTGCCCCCTCCCCTTTAGCAAAGTGGAAACCCTGGAACTTAAAAAGGTGAACTAACTTGCCCAGGACTATTCAACTAATCAGTAACAGAGCTGGAATGAGAACCCAAGTCTACCTGACCCCAGAGCCTGTGCACTTGGTACTATTACCATGTTTGCCTCTTCGAGTTGCGACAAATTTGTCTATAAAGCTGCATTTAAAATTTCTTTCCCTTTATTTTTATTACACTAGACCAGTGGTCGGCAAACTCATTAGTCAACAGAGCCAAATATCAACAGTACAACGATTGAAATTTCTTTTGAGAGCCAAATTTTTTAAACTTAAACTATATAGGTAGGTACATTGTTATTAACTTAATTAGGGTACTCCTAAGCTGGCCTTTGCTAAAAACGTCCTCAGTCTGATTGAGGTACGTTCGCTGAGGTGGACCCCTTCCAACTCTCTCATCTACACTCATCTTGTATACTTGTTTCAGATAGACGAGTGTGGATGGGAGAGTTGGAAGGGGTCGACCTCAGCGAATGTACCTCAAAACAATGTACCTCCCCCGCGCTGCGTATACCGCAGCCCGCCTGTGCCCCATCTCCCGTCTGACCAACACCCCCCACTTCTTCTAACGCCACTTCTTCAAAATAGACTCGCCCAGGCCGAAAACCGACTTCTGTGTATGAGCCACGAAGTTTCAATCGCACGTGCGCGCCCGCACGTGGTATTTTGTGGAAGAGCCACACTCAAGGGGCCAAAGAGCCGGATGTGGCTCGAGAGCCGCGGTTTGCCGACCACTGCACTAGACTAAGGTGCTGACCCTCCAGCTTCTACAAAACATGACCTGTCTAGCATTGTCATTCTGGATTGATAGAATTTCAAAGAATCAATAGAGAAAAAAATGGCATTTTGTTTTACCTTTGACATATTATTTTCGAAAAGTTAAAAATAGCTCCCAGGCCCTGGCCGGTGTGGCTCAGTTGGTTGAAGTGTTGTCCTGTACACCAAAGGGTCGTGGGTTCGATTCTGGGTCAAGGCACATACCTAGGCTGTGAGTTTGGTCTGGTTCCCGGTCTGGGAGAATACAGGAGGCAACCAATTGATGTCTCTCTCTCTCTCTCTTTCTCTCTCTAAATATTAATAAACATATTCTCGAGTGGGGATTAAAACAAAAAGTAAAAGCTTCCAAAGCCTTGTTATAGCTAATTCAGATTCCTAGGGAAGACTTGGTACAAGCTGAGAGGCAGCAAGGGATGGCAAGATAGTGGCAAACAGAACTAGTCATGTACCTGTGGTCCAGGATGGGGCAGACGGCCCTGATTAGACCCTCCAAACCTGAGGACATAAGACACTATTATGCTACACTTAGGGCTTATAGCCTTTGTTATTTTTCTCCCCATACACATTTTTGTGCCCAGTTACTTAGGTAAATCTCCTAGAAGTAGAATTATTAGGTGAAAGGGTATGTAACGTTCTAAGGCAACCCACTGATGTCTGGTTATCCAATATGTATCAAAGGCTTTTTAATTCCCACTCCCCAAAAAAGTTTGAGAGACCATTTTACTACATACCTTTGACAATTCTAGGTATTTATATCAAAGTCAGAAGAAAAAAAGCAACTTACTGAGCAAACTCTACTTTTTCTGCCCAACTGTTCAGTTAAATTCAGTTTACTGGGTAGCCTATATACTGCCCTCTTGCAGTCCAGTTCGAAAGAGTTGAAGGTATTTTGATTTAAAGAGACCTTTTATAGCGAATGTGTTGTTAAGAAAACCTGTCTCATCAGTCACAATTCCTTAAAACGAATTCCACTGTAGGAATGCAGTGTTACGACATGGGAGTGAGCACTCTAAACATCTAGATCAGCGGTTCTCAACCTTCCTAATGCCGCGACCCTTTAATACAGTTCCTCATGTTGTGGTGACCCCCAATTTCATTGTTACAAATTGAACATAATTAAAGCATAGTGACTAATCACAAAAACAATATGTAATTATACCTGTGAAAGGGTCATTCGACCCCCAAAGGGGTCGCGACCCACAGGTTGAGAACCGCTGATCTAGATGTATTCGATTTTCACATTACTTTCCATGCTTTAAGAAGTAACACAGAAGCTCTATATCCTCCAAATAAATTTTTCAGATAGTCATGCTCTGTGCCTGCAGTATATAGACCCACATAATTGTACTGCGAAGAAAAAGTTAAGCTAAAACAGTATTTTGAGTGCCATTCAGTATGTATGTTTACTCTTTCTTTCTAGCAAGTTAAAACATTTCCCCCTTTATTTTAGAGACTGGCATAACGACTCAAGTGAAAATCACTTTCCTAACTACAATCACGATGTTAAGTAGCACCGAGGGAAGAATAAAAAATGCTGAGTCCACTGTAGACGTGAACAGAACATGATCCGACACCCATGCAGGAAACAAGCTCTTTCAGGAGTCTTTTTACTTTATATGGTGTCACGGATGTCCACCTCATGAGCTGCTCCCAACGCAGGCTTTGCCTCTACAGAAGCTCTGAAAGATGACAGGGTGGGGCCGTATTATAATAGAGCCAGAGCAGTCATTTCAGAGGAACTGTCCTGCGTGTCCTGTGTTTCTTGATCTTCCAAACTTCATATTCCACCTATTTGTCTCTGGGAATGTATTATAATCCAGAGAGATACTGTTAAATGTCTTGGGGGTGGGGAGTAGGGTGCTGCACAAAATCGTTTCCCTAAGATCAACAGGTGCTAATGAGAGAAATGTCTAAGCTAAAGAAACCAACAGGTCCTATCATGAATTGGTCCATTTTAAGTCAGCAGAAATTCATTCGTGGCTAAACAGATGACTCATAAAGTAAAACCATGTAAAACAACAGGATCATGCATCATAGAAATGTACACTTGAAACCTACATAATCTTACTAACCGGTGTCATCCCAATACATTTCATTTACAATATTTTTTAAAAGAAAAAGAAATTGCCTTTGGTTCGCTGCTAGCTTCAGGAATAGGTAGGAACTGTTTGCTGACTCCTTAACGTCTATTCTTAAAATGCAAAGACCTGCAGAGATGCAAATGCTGCCAAACAGTCAGCTGTCTTGATTTTGAATACAGAGTCAAGGGGCAGTCCCCTGCCTCGGCACTAGTGGTTCACACGATTTCTTCCAAAATCCACGGGGCCCCAAACCGATCGGCATCGTTCTCAAACAAAGACCCTCAGGTTGCAATCCTGCAACACCGCGAAGGGCACGCACAGCGTGTGCGGGTGGAAACCCGGATCCTCGTGTGCCAACAAGGGCCTGGAAGGCACCTCTCCCTGGAGCTACCGAGAGCGGGGGGGGGGGGCCCCCCCGCCCCTACGCCCAGGGCAGAAAAGCCCCTCCGCCTTCCCCGGAGTCGCAGGGGAGCGGGCCCGCCCGGGGCCAGGTGCGCGGGCCGGCACGAGCCCTTAGCGAGTCTTTCTGGTCCCTGTGGCTTTGGAGCGAGACGGTGGGTGACGTGCAGTTCCCGAGAAACAGAGGAAACGCGGGCACGGCAGGCTCGGCCGCCGGCGCCGTCGGTGCTTTCTGCCCGCGCCCTCCCGCCTCCCGGCCGAGTTCCGCTAAAGCCGGTGCCGGGAAGGGCCCCGCGCCCGCCGCTGGAGCCTGGCCCGCGCCGCGCGGGGCGGGGAGGAGGACATGTCATCCGAACCTCTTTTTTTTTTTTCTTTTAAACTTGCTGCCTGGGACCTCAAACGAGTTCACCGGGGAACCCAAAAATAGCTCTCCCATGACAGCGACCGAGGGACTCGCTGGGAAGTGAAAGGGATTTTTTTCTTTTTTCTTTTAAAGCCGGTATCGGCTCGGAGGGACGGGAAAATCCAGGAGGCAACTGCCTTTGCCGGGAAGGGGCTGAGCTGGTGGGCGCGGGGCCCCCGCCCGGGAGTGGGGGGAGCTGCGGAGGAGGACCCCGCGGGCCTGGGGAGCAGAGGGGAGGGTCCCCAACCTGTGGGAGCGAAGGGACAGGGGAGGGTCCCCGACCTGTGGGAGCGAGGGGACAGGGGGAGGGTCCCCAACCTGTGGGAGCGGGGGGACAGGGGGAGGCGTCCCCGACCTCGAGGGAGCGAGGGGTCCCCAACCTGTGAAAGCGAGGGGACAGGGGAGGGTCCCCAACCTGTGGGAGCGGAGGGGGAGGTTCCCCAACCTGTGGGAGCGAGGAGACAGGGGAGGGTCCCCAACCTGTGGGAGCGGAGGGACAGGGGGAGGGTCCCCGACCTGTGGGAGCGAAGGGACAGGGGGAGGCGTCCCCGACCTCGGGGGAGCGAAGGGACGGGAGGGTCCCCAAACTGTGGGAGCGAGGGGACAGGGGGAGGCGTCCCCGACCTCGAGGGAGCGAGGGGTCCCCAACCTGTGAAAGCGAGGGGACAGGGGAGGGTCCCCAACCTGTGGGAGCGGAGGGACAGGGGGAGGGTCCCCAACCTCGGGGGAGCGAAGGAACAGGGGAGGGTCCCCAACCTGTGGGAGCGAAGGGACAGGGGAGGGTCCCCAACCTGTGGGAGCGGAGGGACGGGGGGAGGGTCCCCGACCCCTGGGAAGCGAGAGGAGACGGGAGGGGGCGGCGTCCGCCACCAGCGGGAAGCGAGAGAGGGGGCGGCGTCCGCCACCAGCGGGAAGCGAGAGAGGGGAGACCGCTTTCGTCCTCTGGCCGCCGCCTCCTCCGCCCGCACGACGCCGCTCAGCCAGGGCAGCAGGAGAGAACGGAGACTGCGCTCCGAGCCCAGGCGGCCCGGACGCCGATCTTTCGGCCCGCAGGCCCCCCCTTCCCGGGTCCCCGGGCCCTCCGGGGAGCCCCAAACTCCGGCCGGGGGGGGGCCCCTAATTTTCCGCCCTTCCCGGGCCCGCCCGGGCGCTGGGGCGGGGAGGGGGCGGGGAGGAGCGGCCGGGCCGGGGCGGCCCCTGGCGGCGGTCCTCCGCCTCTGCATGCTGCGTGCTGCGGCGCATGCGTAGGCTGGCCCGGCTGTCAACCCGGAGCTGGGGCTGGGCTTCTCTCCCACAACTAGGGCGATAAGATCTGCCCCAGGAACGGCGAGCGATCTGGTGAGCAGCAGCCACAACAGTAGCAATCAAAACGACTTGTATAGCTTCCCTAGGAGAAGCCCCTAACTGGGTTAGATCACTTGACCATCCAGAATTCTTAAATACCTCCCAGACTCCACCTCCCTTGCCAAGAAAGTTTTCAGGATTGGTAGAATCCTCTGTTACCACCTGGTCCTTCCCCTTCGACCAGTCCAAGCAAGCAAGCCCATATATGAAATATTTTCCCCCTCCCCTGAAACTGCTGCCAACGATACCACCCTTTTTCCTGTGAATGTCACCAGAAAGCTATTTTGAATTCCTTGTTGAACTGATGCAAATCTCTAAGGAATGTAACAGGCGCTTTGCAGGGAAGGCACACAGGATTTCCACCCACCGCTGCAAACTTGCCTCTTGAGAGAGGCATCACAGGGGGGGGGTTTTTACGTACACATATTCTAAAACCAGAGTGCTTCATTTAATCTAGCGTTCCCCCCTTTATAAATTATAATCTACTTAATATGACTTCAATTTTTTTCATTTCATATTAAAATGAGGATGATAATAGTACCTACCTCACAGGTTTGTTGGAAAGGTGAGATTAGCTAGCTAGTAATGTAAATACACTATTTATAACTATCTAGGTAAGCAATTTTCAACCAGTGTGCCGCGAGAATTTTTAAAACATGCGATACCTGACTATTTAGCCTGGGGCACTGACCTCTTTTTCTTTTAGATTGTCAAATAAAAAAAAAATGACAACAGCCAACACGACATAGACATCCGGTGTGAATGAATCAAAATTACACCTTTTTTTCTTTTGTCAGATGGGCAAAAAATGTAATCATTTTTTTTGGTGTGCCGTAGAATATTAGTAATTAGTTTATGTGTGCTGTGAGGTGAAAAAGGTTGAAAAGCGCTGGTCTATGATATAATATGTGCTAACAATACTGTATTTCCTGCTTTCTAGTTGCCAATGTTCATAGCAAATGCTTATGTTTTTAAGATAGGAACCTGTCACTGGTTCTCAGACTCCATCTGCCCCCCCCCTTTCTTAAAAACATATTTTGAAATATTTAAGACATAAAAAGAAGTACACACACACACACACACACACACACACACACACACACACACACATCTGTGTGCTTGCCACCCAGCTCAAGAAATAAAACATTGTCAGTAGACTTGCCAGCCCCTATGGGTCCCCCACCCACTGCTTTCTAAAAACTAAATCACTTATGGATGACAAAGAGAACATTATATGAAACTGAGAGATGGAGAAAAGGAAGAGCAAGGGAGTTAGACTCCCCCCTCTGGTTAGTATGAACTCTGGAGCAAGTTATTTAACCCTCACGGGCTTCTGCTTCCTAAACCATAAACGCAGGGATAACATTTACCTTCCAGGCTGTACAGTCACAATGCCCAGTTTTCTGAAATGCTGCTAATTTAAAATATTTTGCTCAGCTGTCCTTCTATAAGTACCTCAAAGTGTACAAAAAATCACCACATTCCAGGATTGATTTTTTTTTTATGTTTTACTTGAGAAATGAAATAAGATACACCTTGCAGACTATTGCAGGTGAGGGTGGGCAGGTGAGAGATTCTTTCCCCAAACATTTGGCAATAAGGCAGATGTTTAATTATAAATAAGAGTTAAATTATAAAATTAAAACACAATTCATTCGTTCCGAACACTTACTGAACAACCATGATGTGCGTGTGGCAGACAGCCTCGGAGATGTGTTTATGCCCTGTGTGATCCCCTTCTACAGTGAAGAGGGTGTAACTAATAAGATGTGAAAATGACAGAGTGTGACTTCCTAGGCCAGGTTGACTCCAGGGTTCCCAAGGAGCCTCGTCAGGAATTCGCAGCTGCTAAGGGAGGATTTCTTGGACAGCCAGGAGAGATTCAGGAAGAAATATTCTAAGTGACTACATCTTATTTCATTCAGAAAACAAACTCAAGGCAAACCAGTTTTCTTTTTCTTAAAAAAATATTTTTATTGATTTCAGAGGAAAAGGGAGAAGGAGAGAGCGATAGAAACATCAATGCCTCCTGCATGCCACCACGGAGGATCTAGCCCGCAGCCCTCAACCAGCCCGCAGCCCACAGCCCACAGCCCGCATCCAACCCTCAGCCAACCCGCAACCCGGGCATGTGACCTTTCCAGAATCAAACCTGGGGCCCTTCAGTCTGCAGGCTGACGCTCTCTTCACTGAGCCAAACTGGGTAGGGCAAGACAAACCAGTTTTCTATCTTTCCTTCCATCAAACGAACACACACTCTTTCTTTCTCTCTGTCTCTCTCATTCTTCCTTTCATCTGAACATCCATCCATTTGTTTATCCACTCATCTATCATATTATGTTTATTTCAGAGTTAAAGTTCACAAATAAGATGGTTTTCCTGATGCATGCTATTAGATTGATTTTTGACTGAAAACTGATGGAAAGTGAATCTGATTGGTTGAATTGGTTTGTCAATGAGGACTGGCTTGGTTAATTAGATTATATAGTAGATTTCCCTCCGTAAATTGAATGAAAATTGAATGATCTATCTGTGCAGCTCCAAACTTTTGTCAAAAATATGTAAAGCACATGTAAAATATACACCATGGTAGAGTTACACTCTTTGCAATTATTTGAACTTATAAAATATTTTCACATGCCAACCTAAAAGTATGCACTGGAATATGTCATCTTACAAGAGCACCTTAAAGTCAGAATCTTTCTCACACCAGACACAGGAAGAGCAGGAAAGTAACTATAATAACCCTTTGATCCAGTTACAGATCAGGGAAGATGCAGTTCATCAGAAGAGGCATTAGTGATGACGGAGCCTAGAAAAAGGTCAGAGCGATTCAATGTGGCATTTCCAACCTGCATTCTGCAGGGAGGAGGAAGTGCCCTGCCTTGGAATGTCCCCTTTGTTGTCCTGGAGTTTTGGAGATGGCCTGATGCCTTGAACCTTTGACTTGCGAAAGCAGTTACCTATTGAAGGAATGCACTTGCGTTAACAGTGGCCAAATGGAGCCAAAGGAGCACATGAAGGGATGTTATCCAAGAGAGGATTCTGGCCTTAGAATAGGTTTCAAGTACAATAAGTTCCAAGGTAGCCTCCACCATTTCTCCCTCCCTCTTTCCACCCCATTCTACCAAAATAAGGGAAAGATCTCAGAGAGCAGAGGAGGGAGAAGGGATGACCAGTGAAGTGTGTGTGGGGGGGTAGGGGTGACAAAGAGGGAAGGTGAGTGAGTTGTGTAGTCTTGTGGGTGTGTGAGGTAAGGCTCCTGGGGGATTTCAGACAGTAATAACAGGCTTTGGTGGTGTGCCCTGGGTTCAGTCCACTGTTTAGGCCAGTGATGGCGAACCTTTTGAGCTCGGCGTGTCAGCATTTTGAAAAACCCTAACAACTCTGGTGCCGTGTCACATACAGAAATTTTTTGATATTTGCAACCATAGTAAAACAAAGACTTATATTTTTGATATTTATTTTATATATTTAAATGCCATTTAACAAAGAAAAAGCAACCAAAAAAATGAGTTCGCGTGTCACCTCTGACACGCTTGTCATAGGTTCGCCATCACTGGTCTAGGCTGAGAGCTGACAGCCACTAGGAGGCAGAAGCTTAGTTTTGGTACCCACCTTGGAATCTGCGGAAGTTCCCAGTGTTGTCCTTGGCAATCGGTAAAGCCTGTCTACTAGCAAGGGGTAAAAATACTTGGCCTTCACTCTTCACCTTCTTCCCAAGTCCCAATCAAGAACCCAAATGTTTTGTGGCACAGTCATTTTTCCTGCTCTTAGAGAAAGGAGGGGATTTTTTTCTTCTTCTCCGTTTGGAAAAATGGGGAGGGCAAACAAATTTCCACTGCCTTGGGACCAGTTTTTTCATAGTTTCACCACTGCTCATCAAGCAATGTTGAGATGATAAGTTGACCCAATTTATTGCTTTCCTTGAGGGAAAGAATGTACCAGCCATAGGATGCAGGTATCTGATCTATTTGTGAGCTACATTTTTGATATAAATGACTTGCTTTTGTCTGGGTTTGTTGACTCACTCACCTTCCTTCTTTGCCACCCTTACCCCTCCCCCCACCCCACACACACTTCACTGGTCATCCCTACTCCCTCCTCTGCTCTCTGAGATCTTGCTTGCTGACTATTTTCTAAGGCACACCTGGTAGATAAAATCAGTTTTTGGACTGACAGAGCCAAGGTATATAATCCCTTATGACTTCTCTTTGCACATTCTCTTCTGGATACCTTACAAACAATTACTATTGAAAAATCATCCAAAACATGAAATATATTTGGAAGAAGACTACTGTCCTTTAGTGTCATTGTTTAATGTGTTCACCTAATAATTATTTATAGATGACTGAGAATTCACCCAAGTTTGACTTTGCTATTTACTATTTGATTAGAGACCGGACACTGAGGTTACACATTAACTTAGATATTTTTGTCCAGTAAAAAGCCAAACCCCAGAGGTTAATGCACTAGAAGATATTAACTGGTTTCATATCTATTTAGCTGGGAAACTAATTTCAGCATTCCTTTGACTGACTATATAAAATCTCTATTTTTCTAAGTTCCCTTTGAACTAGCTTTATCCTCTTGCTGATTCATTAATTAATGGATGGAATAAAATCTTTGACATGTGTTTATTCTATATGTTAATTCTATGTTTGTTTAGCAGTTGTGTTTAATTTTTTGAAAATTATTGTGACATTACAACATTCCTGCTTGAGTCTGCTTCTTTCCAATTTTTG